GGTTTGGGGAAATACATCTGCATCAGATGTATCCTATGAACAGCTACAGGAAGAGCTGAGAATCAGTATGCATCAGAAAATTCATTATAAGGTAACTGTGCTCATCGTTCTTAATATGGGTATAAATAAATATAAATGATTTGACTGTACACATCTAAGATTTTTTTAATTAATTTATTTTGTAGATCAACAGAGTTATATACTAGCGGGAGAATTCTCCAGGAATTCAAAGTGAATTTTAAAATGTAGCTTCGAATAGATGGTTTAGATTGATTCTCAAAGCCAATTCTGTTTTCAACTTGTATGTTTTGGCACTAAGTTTGAAATTTACATTGAATTGCCGGTAATGTGTCCCTTAAACTCCAGTTCAACAGTATATGTAATCTTATTTTTAATTCAATGCTAGCTTTGATTAAATGAACGCACCATAACCACTTCATCAGAATGGGGTTAAGCCGCTCACCAATGGTTTAACCCAAATGTTTTGAATCCAGCACCTATTAGGTCTGTCCCAGTCCTTCTACTTATCTAAAATTTTTGAAAGAGCAAGCCTGGAAAATGGAAGCTGCTGATTATTTGAGATTACCAGCTGATGCTCTTAGCCATTCAGCGTTGCCACTCACGAACAGTTTTACCCCTTAGGGAAAGCCGAGAGCTTTCAGTCACTCCTAGCAAAAGAAAATGCAACTTCCTGTAGAAGTGCCAGGAACCCTCAACGGCCTGTAAAGGTCCTTTTTAAAAACAGCATCTTATTGTAAAAATGGCTGCACTGCTCCCATCTATTAAGACTAACTTTGAAAGTAGGCTAAATGATCTATACCCAGAACATGGGACTTTTTTCTTTTTTTTTTCTTCTCTTCTCAAATGCCACACAATCTTGACCTAATTGGATGCACAGCCTCTTTGCTGTTTCTCTAGCCTATACAAAGAAGGATGGAGAAAACTGCAGAACTTGTCATGTCAAACGCTTCCCACCAAACCAGCACACATACACCTATCATTGATTCTGACCACAATAATGGATTTATTATTATTGCAACAAATACTGAGGGGGCATGGTCGCACCTGCTCTTATGGATGAGCCTCCAAAGGTTCTGCCTAGGTTCCAGGTCATTCAGAACTTTTCATCTGGACTACCTACTATCTTCAAGTTCAGAAAAGGATGTTGTGTTGTGGTGAAAACAATGTATCATGCCAACATTAAGATGAATTCAGGCTAAGAATAGTATAGAGTTGTTCTTCCTTATTTCATAGTTAATGGATTGTATTTATAAATGGTGATTTTTTTTAACATTTTTTTTTTCATTAGGAACAGCTGGAAAATGAGCAGCTCAGATTAAGGAAAATGTATGAAGAGCAAAAAAAATTAGAATCTCTTGTTTTCAGTAAAAACGATGAAATTCGAGTCTTAAAAAATCTTTTAAAAGATGCAAAGGAGAGGGAAAAGCACGATTACAAAGCAATACCTGCCCACGAGTTGGAGGTTGGTATCTGATATCAGTTTCGTTCTTTAACCCAGTAAGACATTTTCTTTTTGTAATTTGAATGATTTTTATTGACATGTTGAAGCCATACAGAAAAAGAAAGTATAAAATTATCAATGTTCATTGTATAAATAAAATATGCTTTAAAGGAAAAGCACATTCACAAAAAGTTTCAAATCACTAAACTACTTAAAATCACCTGTTATTAATATATATGTGAAACCATATATCCATATTGTGTTCCATTAATGTTTATATGTGCATTTTGGTTTAATTTCGATATTTACAGCAGTACCACTGGTAAGAAATGCATGTTCTGGGTGTGCCCCCTTTTCCTTTTTTTTTTTTTTCCCCATTAGACGTGACCACAGGAACGCCTGATTTTGAAACCGTTAGAAAATAGTGATCAGTTTAAACAGAATTTGGCCATATGTTGTGACTAAATCCCCATATTCGTGTGCTTGACAGATGCTTTTAAATTTGATATTGTTCTTTTTTTGTGTGTGTTCCCTTAATGTATATTTTATATAAATTTTAGACTTTATGGGTGTGCCCCTAAATTATTTTATTCCATTTATAGTCAGTGGAAATTGCATGTACAAGTAGGTCTTCTTGAATAAATTGTAAGATTTGATAATAATAAGTCTATCTTGATTTGATGATAATAACAACAGTTTATCAAATAGAAAATGCAACTACAAGGGACGCAACAGTATAGCATTCCTGATCGCTCAACATGAGTTTAAAGAATGATGTATAGAAATTCAGGAGTGTTGCTAGGTGATCAAAAAACCAGGTGCTTTGGTCCAAAGGTAATTTTGATAGTTAGCCAACACCTGCGTTGCAGCCAGAAGCTCCTGTAATGAGTTTCTATTAGCTCCACTGAACTAAGCCCTGCTTTGCAGTGAAGGGCTCTTTGGCTGAGTGTGTTATCTGAACAATCAATAAGCACAGCTCTGCAGGATTAGCTCAGTGACAAAACATCCAGCTGCAGAATAGGCAGCAGGCATCCCACAGGTCTTTGGTAAATTGTCAAACTACTTACTGTGGGAGGGTGCAGTGACGTAAAATCAGTAAAGGCCTTGTGTTTGCTTGTCTTTGGTGTTCCCATAAGTGGGACACCAGAGGATAAAAGCGAGACGGGGATGGGAGTGGTAGTTGGGTGTGTGTTTTGTGGGGGGAGCTGCCTATAATGTATGTATTATGAATGCTGCTTGTGGGATTTCACATGTGGGTGAGGCTGCATGTGATGTTATTGTGTGTGTTTGTGTGGAGTATGCTGTCTCTGCAGTTGTGTGTGTGCGTGTGTGGAAATCCTTGTGGTATTTTGTGTTTATCAGGCAGCTGCTTGTGATGGTGCATGTTTGTGGGGATACAGCTTGTGAGGTTGAATGCCTGTGGGTATCCAGCATGTTGGTTGCCTGTGTGGTTGGAGGCTGCTTGTAGACCTGCATGTGTGGACAGACGCTGCATATATGTGCAGTTTGTGTTGTAAAGTGGATGTTAAGTAGGAATAGGTGTGTGCGTGTGTATGCATGTATTTTTAGAGGGGTATGAGTTGTAATGTGTGTGTGTGTGTGTGTGAGTTTTTAAGGGGTAATAATGGCTGTAGTGTGAGTACATTTAGTAGGACATAGGGCCTATGGTGTGTATGTTTAGGGGAGGATTATGATTGTGGTGTGTTTCAGAGGTGATTGGCCCTGCCGTGTGTATGTGTTTGGAATGTGTAGGCCTGTAGTGTGTGTTTAAGTTGTGATAGGGACTGTAAAGTATTTGTGTTTAGGGTGTAAAAGGAGCTGTTGTGTGGGCATAGTGTATGTGCTTCGGAGGATAGGGGCTGTAGGGTGTGTGTTTAATGGTTAATATGGGCTATAATCTATGTAGGGGGGATACGGGCAGCAGCATGTGTTTAGGTTAAGATAAGGACTATAGTGTGTGTGTGTGTGTGTGTGTGTGTGTTAGACTGCAATGTAAAGGTGATATAGAAACTAATTAAAAAACTATTGTCTGCATGGTTTCCTCGCTCCCCTTTGCAATGCCATCGCTGAAGTTGTAGTGCATCACTTGAATGTAGAGTGCAGGAAGTGAGGACCGTGCAGTGTGTGTATGCAGCCTCTGTGTACCTGGCTAAACACAAAACAGGGGAATCGGATCTAATAATAATAACCCCTGTGTGTATTTGTCTTTAATCCCATTAGATTGTGAGTTCATTTGGGCAGGGCCCTCTTCACCCACTGTTTTCATATGTCACATGGATCCAGCAAGGTGCTCACAATATTCTTAGGGATCCTGTGTTAGATACCCAACACAGATTTAGAGGTCAGTCTCCTCTAATAATACTAGGGAATAGAAGAAAAAGGGTTAGTAGGGTATTACCCGTCCATAGGGTGGTTGGGTTTAATGCAGGTAAAGGAGTCAAAGAACAAGCTGAGAATAATGGATACCAGAGGAATGACAAAACAAGAAAAAGCGAAGATTATGGGATTAAAGAGAGCAGTATAGTGCGTAAAACGTCAAACCAAAACCAGAATATTAGGATCGCATCAGGTACAGGAGACTACAAAAGGGCATAGGACAGGAGGGCAAGTGGTTTTTATATTGGTATAGATAGAAGCTGATAGATTGGTGTCAATGTTGGTGCTAGAACATGTGTGCCTTTTGTTGATGCATCGTCTCACAAACTACCATCTCGGTAATATGATGGGATCCCTGGGGATTATGAAAGGACATCCTGAGATAGCAGCCAGTGTCAGAAATGTTACTAGAATAAAGCAACGTCGCACGTCTCAATGTACCAGGAGACAAACTCACATTGGAAAAATTGCAGGAAAAACGCCTCGGTTCTAGACTTACCAGGACCAGGTACCAGCTTACTCTGTAATGACCGGACATAACATCATGACATAATGTAGCTGTTTCAGAGTCCCAAACGTAAATGATTAGAGATGGAGGCCAATGGGGAACACTGAACCTATTGTCAAATTTTTGGAACCAATTTTAGGTTATAGAAAATTAAATGATACATTTAACAGATAAAGTTTAGAAGAGAATTGTAACTGAATCATTACCAATCTGCTTCTGAAATTCCAGGCATTCAAGCTACACTCCACTCCTATAAAATGAATCACCATTTAGTAGATATTCCCCAATGGAAACATGTATGCATTTATTTATTTTTGCCGCATATTGCCACTCGGGGTGTATCTAAAAAGTTTGCAATTTTTATCACAGTAGCCTTTGCAAGCCCTTCCCTTCTCACCAGAGGAGAATTTAGTCTAACGATCAGAGGCTTTTTGTAGAGAACTCTCTGAATCTCTCCAGAATGCTGATCTGATGTGAGATCTGTGAGAGGGAGTGGGGGGAAGGCAGTCACTCTCAGGTATAGAGATGTTTCATAATTTAATTGTAAAAGTGCAGATTTCTCACAGTAGCAAACTGAAGTGCTATCTGGGTGTGGAGTGGTCCTTTAAGGATTAAAAAAAAAACTAAATTAAATCAACATGTTTAAATAAATAATAGCAAAAAGGGTATTCAAAATATTAGAACTAAATAGTCAAACTGGAAGCATTGCTGATTATGATATAATCCAGATCATTTCTTTTGGCCTTAAATGTTTAATTCGCATAGAATTCTCGCTGGATTCTCAATAGTTCTCACTTTGGTGAATAACCCTGTAAATATAAAGAGTAAGCTGTAGAAATCAGCAGGACCATTGGCTTCCAATGTGATTACTCTACTCCAGATGTACATTTTACACAATGCCTTCTTTATTGTTGTCCTAAATTATCATTTGAATTATTACCATTGGAAACACATGTACAGATGGCTTTAGAATAGAAAGATAATTTTAGTTCAGATATATTCAGTATATTATTCAAAACTGCTTCATTATCGGTTTCAGTTTTGTTTTGTTAGTTTTTTTGCCATTTTTTTCCCTATACTTTGATTTGTATTGAAACAAAATTAGAACATTGCCGTAGTCTCATCTCTTATCTACTTAAACTGCAGATTTATAGAATATTATGAGTTATTTATGCCTCAGTTTTTGCCTCTTATTTGCCCTATCTGATAAATTGTAACAATTCATGGGTCCACCTCTGGCAATTAAAGTGTTAGTCTCACACCAACCATTATACACAGCCTTATTTCACCCGAAAGCAGTTTTACATTTTCATCATATTGTTATAACAATTTTCTCCACTGGGAGGTGGTATAACACTGTACTTTCTGATTCAATAAGTGTTTGTTTTTTTCACTGGTACTTATCTCTATTTTCTGGAGAAATACTGCTAAATAATATTACATCTGTCAAACTTTTTTCTGTTTATGTGTCAATGACATTCTTCTATGACAATTGCATTAAAGAAGTCATTTTTATCACAGTACTAGGAAATGTTATTTGTCTCAATTATATTTTCGTAGTTTGGTTTTCATGATCTAAAAGTTCCTAAATATTGAAATTATAGCAATAACATTCAAGAGGAATTGTAGAGAATCGACAAGGGAATTGTGAAATAAAGGGCACACTGGTAAATATTTTTCAACGATTTTACCTTTTTAGCTATATACTTGCCAATTTTCAGAATTCACTTGCCAATTCTCCAAAATTCTCAGTTGAGTGATGAAATCACTGGATATTATTCACTGAACAGAAAATGAGGTGAATCATAAACTGAACTGAAAACATTCTGCAAAATAGCAGTAGGTTACTAAGTAGATTAGAGAATTATTCTTATCTACTACTATTTCTGCATAAAATGTTCAGTTTAGTTTGCAATTCACTACACTATACTGTTTAGTGAATAACCGTTTGGTGTTTTAATCTGGGAATCTATGACTATATCTGAGAAATTCAGGTGTAGGCCGTTCACTGTACTTTTAGTAGTTCTTCTCAAAATTATCATTATAAAAATGTCGTTTTTTTATTTTATTTTTTTTGAGATGCGAATTAAAAAGACATCACAAGAATCTGCTGCTCTCGGGACTTCTCTTGATGACAACGCAAGGTAGATTATTCATATTCTTATAATTTATTTTATATACCTTTCATTATTCCGTTTTCTCTTAATCCTGTGTTCAATTCGGGTTAAATTGTGAGAATTTGGCAAAACTGTACTTTAATCAAAGTATTTGCATTGTGGGAATCTCTAAATTTACTACATTTATTTTATGGTCTACTACTCATTTATTCAAGAGAATGTTTAGTTATATATTTTTATTTTTTTTTACCCACTCTTTGTGGATTTATATTTATACAGTTAACAATTCAATATAGTCATGCGCATTAGCTTGGCTATAGTTTTATTAGTTTATATTTCTGTACTGAAAGGGTTGGCTTATATGTTTAGAGACAGGTTAAAATGAAGTTATAGGACTTGACTATTATGGTTTTTTTACTGATGCATTGAGCACATTGTGAGAGATTTATCAGTGTTGCTTTTACATCTAATTTTTATTTTATTATTTGATTTATTAATAATTTGTTGTTATTTTCATCTGTTACTTTATATAGAAATGCCTGTGAAATTATAAAAAATCAATCTTTTTAGATTGCTTTAATAAATTATGGTCAAAATAATGATGAATTGCACGTTCAAAACACTTGTTTAAATATCTTGCGTTGTGTCTTAAGAAAACAGATAATGACAGCTTCAGGGAGAGACTTGAAACAACTGGGACTTGTAGAAAGCATATTAGTAAATTGTAAATTTTTTACCAAAATACGAATATTAGGGAAAAAAATCCAAATAAATAATGTTGGGTGGTAGGGGTTTAGCTCAACTACTTTAACTTACTATTTAGAAGTACCTTGTCAAATCTCGTCAATTCTCAGTTAAGCGAATAAATGTCTTAAATGTACTATTTGAAGGCAAATCTGTATCCTGATTTGCTCCTGGATTTTTAAAACCAATCAGAATATATCTTTTAAAAAGGCACTTTTCAGTAAACTACAAACCAAAAATGAAAAACAAAACATTACTTATTGGATGTTCTAAAAGCACACTTCTTAGCGCTATACGCTTTTATCAATAATTGTTGTATTGTGTATACCACAACCAATATATTTCTTAAATGTGTCCTAATAAAAGGGAATTGTCACTTCAAAGTATTTTTAATATTCTGTTTACGTATCCCCCATAATTAACAATTACAGGCTTGAGAGGTGTGAACATAAAATTCTATGTTTGAATCCATTCTGCAACTAGATATCTCAATCTTGACTGCATGTCAATCATTGTTATAACCTCTGCTCTTTGCAAGTGACAGTCAAGGTATGGAAAATATACAGAGAAGAGGAGAAATTAATCAATGTTTATTTTCTCTTCATTTGCAACGTGTCCTTAACTGTGCCTGCTCTGAATTGGATTGTGATATGAACTGAGAAATCTTTAAATGTAAAAAAGGATTCACACAAGTTATGGGTGATTTTCTGTGTTTTATGCATGGGTATAATTTCTAGAGACATGATGGTTTCCTTTGCAATCAAGTGGTCAAAACAAGCCCAAAGTGAGTTAAGTTTCCTATAGTACCCCCAACAACGTTGATGTGCAGACTGGTACAGATAATGATATTCCTTGTTATAAAAAACAAAATAGTAATTCGCTGAATAGGTGCACATCATCTTTTAGGTAAACCCGTTGTTTGTATATATCTACAACACAAAAATTGTATAAAATCATTGTTAGTAAAAGCAACGGCTATTACACCACGCTATGCTATCATACTATTTCAGATTTCTTAGAAGGAAGTAAAGAATTAAAAGGAAAATTATTTATCATAAAAATTAATTAAAAAGTATGTTTCTTTTTTCTTTCTTGGAATGAAAATATTATTTATATATAGTTTAAAAATTGCAAATGCTTATTTTTTCTCTCTCTCTTCAAATAGAAAATACTCAAATATTTCAGTTTTCCTCAAGGGGATCTTTAACTTAATGACCAATATTGGTTATTATAAAATGTTGCACATTTTCAAATATTCTAACTTTTTTGTTGTTGTTGTTAATACTGTTCTTATTCTCTGTAATACCGATGTCCCTCTGAAAATTATTTTTTTTAATACATTTTATATTTCTCCTTTTTATTTGTGTTCATTTTTAAGTCCTTTTTATTTATTTTGGTAAAAAAGAGAACATATCAGTTGCCTTTTTTTATATAATTTTAGCTGTAATTAATCATCTTTTAAACAGATTATATCCTGCCATTATATATAATTCACGGTAATTAGCTGAAACTAGCAGGCACCCTCCTCTGTAATTAACATTTACTGGGTTTCAGAGTAATCCTTTGTTGCTGGATTGCATTTGTTAACATATATTAGTGTTCCCTAGAATTTCTTAGCTTTCATTAGCATATTGTGTGCATTTTTATGGTCTATAATTAGCATTTCTTAGTAAAGTAGGTGCTTGCCACTAACTAGTGACTACTAACACTAATTAGCCCACACTATTATTCGTTCACATCCATTAATACTTAGTAGTGTTTTTTTTATTAGCTTTCATTAGCATTTAGTAGTATTGGTTGCAGTTTGTTAGCTTTTGAGAGAATTTATTAGCACATTATACAATTCTTTACAGCTCCTAACATCTGCTAGATGTATTGTATTTGTTATTAGCAACCATGTCATACATAATTAGTACATACAAACATGTGGAATAGATCCTTCCATTAATATCCATTCACTACAAATAAATACCAATGGCATGATCTTATCATTTTTATTATTATTCTTTTTTATTTTTTTTTTGCCATATATAAATTCTGTACATCTGTAGCTTATCAATAAAGTTATTGAAAAATACCTCCCGCAGACACCGCAGTTATACAACTCTCCTAGAAAGAAAAAAAGTATTGAATTACATAATAACATACATTTGAGATTTGTTTTTTTAATAAAAATTGTGTGATTAAAAGCTAAAAAAGAAATCCCTCGCCGAGCTAAGGGCATTCTCAAATCTGCAATCTCATTACATCTACATAGTGCCCCTCCTAAAAGACACTGCTTTGCAACTATGACAGAACGCCATGGAAAATGTGTAAAAACACATGAACAGCATTTACTTTTTGTTCCCTGTGCTTAATTCTTCCCCTTACTTTACCATAAAAGGTTGACAGGGTTTGGTTTTTTGTTCGTTTGGTTTTTGTTTATTTTACAATGCATAAAAAATGGCAAAAAAATATTGCAAATGCAAACTAAATTTGTATTTCATTTTCCACAAGTTGTGTAGTTGCGGGAGGTGGCTGCTCCCTATCTCTGCAGTACACCAGACTTTTGCAATTCAATTTTGAGGCCCTATCACCCCCAATCCTCTCCTCATGGCTGGTATGGGTTATCATGGTTCCCAAAGGAGGGCTTCTGGCTGGCTGGAACGTTCTTTGCAACGAAGGCCTAACTGTTTTAATAACTGGATGCTGGAAGGGGTATTGGCAGCCTTTGATTGGATTTGTGAGAACTTCTGGGATTGACTCTCTCTCATATCAAGCTAGCTGAACCATGCTGCCCACCTTCTGGAGGGAGATGTGGGTCAGTATTGACAGAGGCACTGAGCATCTGTACCGGGCATGTCTGCTGTAACCAGTGATACAGCTTATCTGAATAGCCTACCTAAGTGGAGAGCCGACAGAGGAAAGACCTCACTGCACTTCCCACACCTTTGGAGGGAAACTTGATGGAGACATCAATGAAGTAGAGTTCGATCCAGATCCCTATACACAACCTCTGAAGGGCATACACTTTAGTACTGCTATATGCTGGGTACATGGAGAATAGGTGCCAGCTCATTTTCAAACTCTGGTCTGGTGTGGTAACCTTGTTTGGTGCTAAAAACCCTTCTGACACTTACCTGTTTCCAACGCCGATGTCCTCCAGCGTTTGGTCTTGCTCCTCCTCCTCTGACATCAACGGGGGAGACCTAATGCACATATGCGGCGAGCACTGCACTCTCATTAGGCCTACCCCCATAGGAAAGCCTTGCTCAATGCTTTCCATTGGGGTTTAAATGATGCTGGCTGTGCTCATTAATAGCGTGAGGACATCCAGCGTCCGTTAGGCAACCAAAAGTCGCCTAACCACCCTGAAGTCCCTCTAGTGGCTGTCTGTTAGAGGTGGAGTTAACCCTCAAAAGTAATTATTTCACTAATCACAATAGTGCACCCAGTCCCCCTTCAATGAGCTGAAGTGGTCTGGGTGTCTATAGTGTCCCTTTATGCTTTACTTTAAGCCATCACATCATCATGCAAGCAACATAATGTTCTAGAGTCTACCATTGATCAGTGCAGTTAATCTTTTACTAGTGAGTTTAAACCTTGAGTAATCTTGCGTTTATAACTGATCTTGAAGTACATTCTTGTCTTACCCTTAAAACGAGGTATCGGTGATCACTGTCTGTATATTTTAAACAATGGTATTCAGGTGAACCGTTATGATCTCCATCTTTATGCTTATATTTCTCTATAAAACAGATTGACAAAAAACAACAATATTTTACTCTGCAGGGGACCCAGAACTGTCACATTAATAAAGAATGAGACAATTTATTGTTTTTGTTGAGATTATTATTACTTTTTTTCCAATTATTATTATTATTATTATTATTATTATTATTATTATTATTACAACACTTTTTTTTTTTCTTTCTTCAAATGCTTATCAAATCCAAACCACTAGTCAGGTGGAAAGGTGACCTATGGTGTGATTACAACCTTTACGTTGTAAAGGATTTAGCACGTCATCTGGTAACCATCTTGTTGGGGTTTTTTTGTAACAAATTTGCATAATATTGAAAAATTTCCAGAACTGCTCTAGATGTACCAGGGGTACCCAAAGCAAGTCAATATCTAAATCAAGATGTCTGATGTGAGATAGTTACTGTAACGGCTACCCAAGTTGTAGGGGGGTATCAGCCGTTGGAGCCGTCCTTTTCCTGGAAAGCTGCTGTGTAGTAATGGAGTTTCTTATTCCCATCCACGAGATCCAAGAGTAAAGCCAGGCCTAGCTGTAAAATGGAGCAGGATAATTGTGCAGTAAATCCCCTTCCAAGAACGAGACGAGGCTACATTTTGAAGGGTCAAGCAGAACTGGCTTTTAATGACAGGCACTCTCTCTTTTTATGTGATTTTGCCCATGCAAGGGCGACACCTACATAATTAACAGAACAACCAATAAACATAAGGTACATCCCACATATCTCCTCCCCTCAGATAAGCTACTAACATAATTAAAACGAACACATTTTTCCCCAAAGTTCAGATGTACCCCAAATACTTGTCCACAGATAGCCCTTTTCTGGGGGACCAACATAGTCAAAATTCAGCTCATTCAGTTCAGCCGTTCGGGAGATATGGGACTTTAAAGTTTTGACCGACCGCACAGGCAAAATATCCGAAAATAGTTCCATGAATTTTGGCCTTGCGGTCGGTCTTTGTTCGTGCATTAAAAGTCACAAAAAGCTTGCCATCCGTGTGTAACTCGACGTTTGCTAGAATACACATATGTTATTAAGTCTTTCTACCGAACGGCCAGGTGTTCGGTAGTTTTGGCACGAATTCCCGGTGCTATGGAGGTCTCAGCAGTGTTCGCCTACTCGAGTGCCCGATTTTTAGTTCCAGACACTCAACGGCAAATCACCGCTGTTCGTGCGTTAAGATGGCCGCGAACACGTGCAAAGTCCCGAAATGGTGGCCACCTAAGATCTAAAACAAAGGATTCTTGCATTTATCATGCGAACGGTATATGCCGTTCTGGGAGGTAAAATACCACTTAATTGAACAGCAGGTTGGTCCGGTGTTCGGCAGTTTGTATTCGTCTTTGTGCCTGCTTGGTCTCTACCGCATGGATTGCACAAATAGACGACTGCTGGCAACATAATTCCCGAACTGGGCTATAATAATTCACATAACCAGGTAAGTATATTCCCTTGTATTATTAGGGGTAGTTATTGTTAAATATGTCCAGGCAGAAAGTACAGTTACCATTAAGGTGTCCTAGAATTTCTTTTACTAATGAGGCTACAACTTGTCAAACATGATATCTGTAATATCAACACATGGGCTTATTCCATGATTTTGTGCTAGGCCTGGCAACCATTTTTTTGTTGTATTGTTTTTGTGGCTACTTTTGCACAATATTGAAATACCTTAAACTCGAGAACCACATAAACTACAAACCTGCAACGTTTAGTGTCAAGTTGTGTTTTGACCTATATTTTGATTTGTTTAAGAGAAGATGATTTGCCACATAGTTCTGCAGCCGAATTTCATTGCACACAGTTATTCAAAAAAAATTTTAATCTTCCCATAAACCTCTGAATAAACAAATCTGGCACACATTGCCACAGTTCAGTCCTCTACCACAGTTGTTAACAGCAACTTTATATCAAAATCAGGATTCATGCCATGAGCCAATTATGTCTAAGGTGTACTAAAAAATTATAAAATCGGGTTTATGAATGGCTAGTCTTAGAAGTAATACATTTTCATGTATGTGAAATGCAATTGTCATTGCTCCATCTAAACATTCTTTTATTTACATTTTTTTTTCTCCACATGTTTTTCTATACAGGCAAAATGTTGAACGGGTTTTCTGTGACCTTAAGAATGAATTCAGACAGATTTGCAAGTTAACCAAAGAACAAAGCATCCGCCTAAACAGATTTGTGAAGCCTAAGGAAAATGCAGCTTGTAATCAGAGTATGTGAATGTTCTTCTCGAAATAATGCTTTGTGTGTGTGTGTGTGTGTGTGTGTGTATGTGTATATATATATACAGGGAGTGCAGAATTATTAGGCAAGTTGTATTTTTGAGGATTAATTTTATTATTGAACAACAACCATGTTCTCAATGAACCCAAAAAAACCATTAATATCAAAGCTGAATATTTTTGGAAGTAGTTTTTAGTTTGTTTTTAGTTTTAGCTATGTTAGGGAGATATCTGTGTGTGCAGGTGACTATTACTGTGCATAATTATTAGGCAACTTAACAAAAAACAAATATATACCCATTTCAATTATTTATTATTACCAGTGAAACCAATATAACATCTCAGCATTCACAAATATACATTTCTGACATTCAAAAACAAAACAAAAACAAATCAGTGACCAATATAGCCACCTTTCTTTGCAAGGACACTCAAAAGCCTGCCATCCATGGATTCTGTCAGTGTTTTGATCTGTTCACCATCAACATTGCGTGCAGCAGCAACCACAGCCTCCCAGACACTGTTCAGAGAGGTGTACTGTTTTCCCTCCTTGTAAATCTCACATTTGATGATGGACCACAGGTTCTCAATGGGGTTCAGATCAGGTGAACAAGGAGGCCATGTCGTTAGATTTTCTTCTTTTATACCCTTTCTTGCCAGCCACGCTGTGGAGTACTTGGACGTGTGTGATGGAGCATTGTCCTGCATGAAAATCATGTTTTTCTTGAAGGATGCAGACTTATTCCTGTACCACTGCTTGAAGAAGGTGTCTTCCAGGAACTGGCAGTAGGACTGGGAGTTGAGCTTGACTCCATCCTCAACCCGAAAAGACCCCACAAGCTCATCTTTGATGATACCAGCCCAAACCAGTACTCCACCTCTACCTTGCTGGCGTCTGAGTCGGACTGGAGCTCTCTGCCCTTTACCAATCCAGCCACGGGCCCATCCATCTGGCCCATCAAGACTCACTCTCATTTCATCAGTCCATAAAACCTTAGAAAAATCAGTCTTGAGATATTTCTTGGCCCAGTCTTGGCGTTTCAGCTTGTGTGTCTTGTTCAGTGGTGGTCGTCTTTCAGCCTTTCTTACCTTGGCCATGTCTCTGAGTATTGCACACCTTGTGCTTTTGGGCACTCCAGTGATGTTGCAGCTCTGAAATATGGCCAAACTGGTGGCAAGTGGCATCGTGGCAGCTGCACGCTTGACTTTTCTCAGTTCATGGGCAGTTATTTTGCGCCTTGGTTTTTCCACACGCTTCTTGCGACCCTGTTGACTATTTTGAATGAAACGCTTGATTGTTCGATGATCACGCTTCAGAAGCTTTGCAATTTTAAGAGTGCTGCATCCCTCTGCAAGATATCTCACTATTTTTGACTTTTCTGAGCCTGTCAAGTCCTTCTTTTGACCCATTTTGCCAAAGGAAAGGAAGTTGCCTAATAATTATGCACACCTGATATAGGGTGTTGATGTCATTAGACCACACCCCTTCTCATTACAGAGATGCACATCACCTAATATGCTTAATTGGTAGTAGGCTTTCGAGCCTATACAGCTTGGAGTAAGACAACATGCATAAAGAGGATGATGTGGTCAAAATACTCCACCCAACAGCGCTCTTCAAGGATGTAAAGTACCAAACGCAGGCGGGATGGAAGTTCAGCGTTGTTCACGAGGTCGAGTGTCCGATTTTTAGTTCCTTGCACATGACAACCAAACACCGCTGCCTGCGTTCGCGGGAACAAGATGGCCGACGCCACGTATTCGGGCATACGAAGGACGGCCACCAAGACGATGACTTAGAACACTGCTGGCAGAATCGTTACAAGGTGTCATTAATGTTTAACAAGCTCCCGGGTGGTCTTTAGTTCGGGAGTTGGTTCGGTTCCTGAACCAATTAGAAAATCCCATGAACCAAGTCTTTTCACATGATTTCTACAGGGCCCATAGTCTTTAGGCAGGAGGCTGGCAAGCACGCTCCTCAAGGAGCCTGTGGCAAGTTTACGTTCACCACTTATAATATCGCTGTATATATTCTCTCTCTCTCTCTCTCTCTCTCTCTCACACTCACACACACACACACACACACACACACACACACACACAATTCTGTGCACTTATTGTATAAATTAACATTACCATTCACAAAGTTGCATAAACCCCTGACTTACTTAGAGTATGTGATCATACATTGCATACGCTTGTATACCCCATTTTTTCTATACCAATCATACACATTCTAAGAATGGAAAACATTCACACCCAGAATGAAACATGTCCTACGGGTTGATAACTTCAGGAATTAATCATGTTGCAAGGCTCCAAACTGTCCCGTTTTCCTGTACCACTGTTCAGATTTTAGTTCATTTTTAACACACATCCTCTATACCTGGGTGATAGACAGGTACCCCATATAATAAGATTGTATTTTTACTCATGCCAATGCCCAGAGAATGTTACTGTGAATGAGACCGTTTTATAATATGCAGTAGTTGAGGTACTAAAATATGATCAAAAATGTAATTAGCGAAGAATCTATGGATATTTTTAGGAATGCAAATTCCCCAAATACCAGCATAATGAAAGCATTATGTCTGCATGTAAGTATTAAGCCATGTATAGTAAATGTGATTGTCTGGCTAAACCACACATCTTTATCTAAAAGGATGTTGTAGGTTGTCATCTTTCCACTTACTACAAGGGGATAAGGGTGAGTTAATAACTGGGACACTGCAAATAAATCAGTCTCTCAACTGTGCAACAGTGGGTGGACTTGTTTGTATTTTTGTTCTTGAACTCATTAGAACAAAGACTTTCACAAGTCATTTGTAAACTTTTAAAGTAGCATTTTTTTTTCTGACAAGTGAATATTTCTTAGTCTTCCTTTTTTTTAAATTTTTCTTTTATCCAATCAGGCGTTCCTCTGCAGTTTTCGATGCCTGTTCAGTGCACAGATGAACCAAATGAGGAAGGGACAGTAATGCTGAAACCTAAAGGCCCGGAGGATAAACTTTCTTTTGCTCCCATTATGCCCAGAGGATTGGGACCAGACGATGAAGTGAGTGTTTCTGTAGAATCCCTCTCCAACTTGAGCGTTAAGTTCCCACCCAGCAGTGATGAAAGTGAATTTTTACAGAGCACTCCAGAAAATGAACCAGTAAGGAAACCTATTGGAAATGTAAATGCCCGGGTCGATAATTTTCACAAAGAGGCCCTGTTTTTTCCAAAGCAATTCACTGGTGCACACTGTGTTTCATCTGGAACAGAGCCATTACAAGGAGCGGCTTCTAACCAAGAGAACTATAAATATCTCCACTTGGGAAATGACTATGAAGGCAGCTCTGAGGAGGACAATAGTCTGTGTCTACCTGGGATCAGTCCTACAAGAAAGTACAATCAGGATGCTGGCAGTGGGGCTGAACCATTAGATGCAAATGAAAGAATTGTTCGAGGTCCACAGCAGGTACTATGGTTTTCTATATCTTTAAATTATTTTATTTTTTTTCGCAGGCAGAATTGAGATAGGCATGGCATGTAACAGATATGTCAAGGCATAACATTCAGAATAATAACATACATGTTAATGTGAGGATGACCGTACTGACTGCAAGTTTTTATATTAAATGTAGCTGGCAACTGCCCTGTTTAGGGCTTATAAGTGTTTAAGTGGGTTTCGAAAAAGTATACGACTTTGATCAAACAACTAGAGAAGGGTAGAAATGGCTTAAAAATAGAGCAAACTGTGCGATAAATAAGAGCAGCTCCACGGCTTAGAGTGATTGGGATATGGCTTGCTTGGAGATGTGGGGGGGTGGGGGTCGGAAATATAGGAGCAAGTGTGGCCGGGTTCTTCCTGGTCTAGAAGCATGCAGACCTCCGGGGCAAGGCAATGAAGTGCACAATCATAAACCATTGTAAAAATTAACTAAAAGCACGTCAGTCCCAATATAAAACAAGCGAACACTATGGGGAACATTGATCAAAAATATAAAAAGAAACAAGGAGGCGCCAAAGTCAAGTAGATGTGATAGTGGTTGCATTCTTGAGTTTAAACGGCCATCTTTAAACTCATGTGAGTGTGACTATATTTTGCTATAGTAAAAATATGTCTAATTGTGCTGTAATTAGTTGTATACTTTCGGCAGACGCCCACACTTGTAACCTGCTGTGGGCCCTCTGTGATCTTAGCGATAGTGGTTATGGATTCCGGCTCTCTGGCTGAGGTACTGGATATGGGGAGACATCCCTGCCGGGGACAATGTGACTATTACTGGGGTGGGGTGTTCCTTCTCCTCTGTATTTACATGAGTGTGTGTGTGTGTGTGTGAGAGTGTGTACAAATTTAAAATTAGGTTGTGTAAATGATTTTTGCAGATGAGAGCAAATTGTCCTATCTTGTCCTTCCATAATTTAATATCAGATTTGATTTATTTTGTCTTTTATGTATTCTTATTAGGCACGTGGCTTTCTGTAGTGGAACCCAATGTTTCCAAACTATACCTAGGTTTTGTTCAACATGGTGTTAAGAACATTAAACAATATGAAGCAAACAAATTGCACTGGGTATGGGTGGACATTTATACTAGATTGCTTGCAGCAATCCAAATTACATTTCTCAGATTGTGTTTTGTGTTTAACTAACTTTAATTTGTATTTCTTAGTTGTTTTTATTTTATTTTATTATTTTTTTGTTCTTTTGTTGTCTGTTTTTCTTTTTGTTTTTTCCTGCTTGTACACAAAGCTCTCAGTAGATGGCAGCCTGTGTTGTTTATTTTCTTCCGATATCAGGACACATGAAACAGCTGGTATGTGATTACAAGTTGATGGCAAAGTAGGCAGCTTAAAAAAAATGCAAGTGAATTGGTGTTGAGCTGTCAAAAGGCACAGGGCAGAAGGTTAGATAATTGACTTTCGCACCAGGGTGAAGGGGGTAGGGTGAGGTTAAAATTACTTTAGTTTGTGAGTTTCAGAATCGGATGTGAAAGGAAAATTTCATTGGCTTTATTTATTATTTTTTATCTGTATGTTAAAATGAATTGTATTGCATTTTTGAAGACTGGAGGAGAACAAAAGTTAAAATATAATTTAAAAAAAAACAGATTAGTTCATAATTCTACAGTATTTAAGAATAAAATAATTGAGTTGCGAAGAGAGGGATTAAACATTGTGTTTTCTGCTTTTGTGTTTAATCATGAACAAAGTGCAATAATTTAATACAATATTTAACGTTTTTAAAGGAACAGCCAACCCATATGAGTCCAGTGAAGGCTTTGGTGTTCTACCTACCAAACAATTGCACTTCAGCCTACTTTCTATTGAAAACTATTGTTTTAAAGGGACACTATAGGCACCCAGACCGTTTCCGCTCATTTAAGTGGTCTGAGTGCACAATCCCAAGTCCCTTAACCCTGTAATTTTAATTATTGCATTTATTGAGAAGCTGCAATAATTACTATCCAGTGTTAACTCAACCTCTACCAGACAGCCACTAAAGGGACTTCTTGGACATTAGGTAGCTTTTGGTCGCCTAACTGACGCTGGATATCCTCTCGATATGCATAAGAGGTCCCAGCGTCCCCTGAAACACCATAGGAAAGCATTGTATAATGGGGGAAGTCCTAATGCATGTGCAGGAGGAGTGGAGACAGAGTCTGAGCCAGCACCAAGGGTCATTGGTGCTGGCTGGACTTGGGTAAGTGAAAGAAGGGGTTTTAACCCCTTCTGCACCACGGGGAGGCAGGAGGGCACTATAAGGAGCTACAGTGACAGGAAAACAACTTTAAGTTGATTGATGAAGGCTAATAGGCCCATTTGTCATTACTCACTATAAGAGAAAGCAAATTACATGCTTATAACCTTTTGTAAACCAATCCTGCTAGCTCGCTTAATGTTGTTTGGCTGTTATTTAATACACCTAGATTGTCAACTATCAAGAAGCAGTGAATCAGCATCATGCTTGCTGAGTTGTAAAAAAATGGCTGCTACCACCAGGGTTGGCTAGGTTCGGAAGATATTTTTTAAAAGAGTTTTGTGAGATCTCTCGCACAGTCAGGCTCTGTTGCTTGCAATGTTCATAACATTAGTTAATTTGTTAGACTTTAGCGCTCAAGTTTCTGCATGGATATTCTACTTTAGCTGTTAAAATGGATGTGGTCAAAACTGGATCAGGTAACTGACATTTAATGTGGATAAGTGCAAGATAATGCATCTTGGACGTAAAAACCCAAGGGCAGAGTACAGAATATTTGATAGAGTTCTAACCTCAACATCTGAGGAAAGGGATTTAGGGGTGATTATTTCTGATGACTTAAAGGTAGGCAGACAATGTAATAGAGCAGCAGGAAATGCTAGCAGGATGCTTGGTTGTATAGGGAGAGCTATTAGCAGTAGAAAGAGGGACGTGCTCATGCCATTGTACAGAACACTGGTGAGACCTTACTTGGAGTATTGTACGCAGTACTGGAGACCGTATCTCCAGAAGGATATTGATACCTTAGAGAGGGTTTAGAGAAGGGCTACTAAACTGGTTCAAGGATTGCGGGATAAAACTTACCAGGAAAGGTTAAAGGATCTTAACACGTATAGCTTGGAGGAAAGACGAGACAGGGGGGATATGATAGAATCATTTAACCCCTTAAGGGCATATGACATGTGTGACATGTCATGATTCCCTTTTATTCCAGAAGTTTGGTCCTTAAAGGACCACTCTAGGCACCCAGACCACTTCAGCTTAATGAAGTGGTCTGGGTGCCAGGTCCAGCTAGGGTTAACCCATTTTTTCATAAACATAGCAGTTTCAGAGAAACTATGTTTATGAATGGGTTAAGCCTTCCCCTATTTCCTCTAGCGGCTGTCTCATTGACCGCCGCTAGAGGCGCTTGCGTGCTTCTCACTGTGATTTTTCACAGTGATTGCACGCCAGCGTCCATAGGAAAGCATTATGAATGCTTTCCTATGTGACCGGCTGAATGCGCACGCATTCAGCCGACGGGGAGGAGAATAGGAGGATCGGAGGAGGAGAGCTCTCCGCCCAGCGCTGGAAAAAGGTAAGTTTTTACCCCTTTCCCCCTTACAGAGCCAGACAGGAGGGGGACCCTGAGGGTGGGGGCACCCTCAGGGCACTATAGTGCCAGGAAAACGAGTATGTTTTCCTGGCACTATAGTGGTCCTTTAAGTTTGGTCCTTATTAAATACATAAAGGGAATCAACACAGTAAAGGAGGAGAAAAAGGAAGAAAAACTACCACAAGAAGAAGACATAGTCGTAAATTAGAGGGGCAAAGGTTTAAAAATAATATCAGGAAGTATTACTTTACTGAGAGGGTAGTGGATGCATGGAATAGCCTTCCAGCTGAAGCGGTAGAGGTTAACACAGTAAAGGAGTTTAACATGCGTGGGATATGCATAAGGCTATCCTAGATATAAGATAAAGCCAGAGACCTATGAGAGTATTTTGAAAATTGGGTAGACTGGAAGGGCCGAATGGTTCTTATCTGCCGTCACATTCTGTGTTTCTATGTAACCATGTATCTGTGTTCTCCTTTAGTATAGTTTCAAAACAAAAAATATAAAACTTGTGGAACGGCTCGAGTTCTTACCTGGCGTCAGTGAGGCACTGATCATTTTTGCCATGGAAAGCAAGCCTTGCTGTTTCAGTGGGTCACTGTCAGACCATGAGCTAAGCCCTGCACACAACATAAAACTCTCATAAAGGGCAGGGACAGTGCAGCATCGTGAACATACCCTGAGTGACACAGGGTGGCTCCTTATGCTCCATTTTATCAGAGACGACAATTGGCAGATATTCCTTTGCTATGTGGCTGCAGAACACTACTTATACTTCTTATTTTTTTTTTTTTACTTTAGTGCCCGTAAAGAAAAAACTTACAGAAAGGTACAACAGTTGATGAGTACATACAGGAAGTAGCAAAGCGAAGTGCTTTTGTAACGTCATATCACGCCATACATCAAATTAACCATCATTATGTCCCTTGACTAGTTATTTCATAATTACCCCAACTATAGTCCAAGGCCTTTAGAATGATTCTGCGTAGTATACTGATTGAATGAATGAGTATAGGATAATAAAGTAAAGCATAGGGAAGTGTTGGCACAAGCCCCGTGAGCACCCAGCATGACCCCCTCTTCTCCCCCCCACAACACCACCACCTGGGGAGAACCGTTATACCTCAGTGAACCTTTTAATTCCCTGTCTCCCCATCATCACCTACAGACACATTTTGACGAGACATATAAGCATCACATGGATAACAGTTTTGCGTGTTTTGCTCTAGAACTTTTCAAATACACTGTCAAGTATTTGGCTGTCTTAATCTCCTCCATCCTGTCCAACCTGTGCTGTTTATTGGGTGCTTTCAGTCTCTCCCAGAAGTCTTGTACAAGTGATTTTGCTGCATTCAGAAGGTTCCACAATATTGATAGTTTATACTTAGACATTGGTAGAAGAATGACATGTAAGAGGTCATTTTCAAATGCGAACAGGTGTGGATTCCCAAATATCTCTGAGAATATCCCTAACCATCTGCCAATGAGGTTATATGATTGTGCAATCAAACAAAATGTGTTTAATTGACCCTTTCTCTCCACCACATCTCCAGCACATTGGAGAGACTAACAGGAAAATCTTATGTAAACATTCGGGAATGTGTACCACCAAGAGAGACGTTTATAATTAACTTCCTGATATCTTGTGCTGATAGAACTCTTGTGATGCAGGATCAGAACCTCGCTCCACTAGTTAGCTGTAATAGTTGTGCCCAGGCCTTCACAGACCATTACAAAGGCTGCTTAGTCAAAAGGGCACAAGCCAAGGTAGAGAATTTCTGAGAGGAGATTAGATCACGGACATCTATTTTCAATATATATATATCCTATTATCATTTTTCTCCTATTCAAATCCATGGAGGGACGGAACACTCATGATCGAAAACTGTTCACAAGATTTACAGTAGCTGCCAGAGGAGCCATGGCTTAGCCTTGGCTTAAAACCAAGATCCCCGCAAAAGAAATGGAGCAGATAAGAAAACCATTTAATGGACAGACTCATAGCCCAAGTTAGACACTGTTCCTGCCTTTGAGAAAGTATGTTTAGCTTGGGACATTTGAGACCCTTAGTACAACGAGCAATAAACACCTCATATGGCACATTCTCTTTATCGCTCTCTCTCTTTATTTACTATTCTTTTCCCTATCTATCCCAAACAACATCCTATAAGCACAGCTAACTGATAATAAATAGAATCCTAACGAAGATGACAATGCTAGTCAGCAGCTATATTGCAAAATGAAAGATGTGAGACCTGAATACTTGAGCGGTGACTAATAGAATTTCCCACATCTATCATCCTCTCATATCTCTCTCCTTTTCTATCCTCCTCTTTTGCCATTGTGTATTTTATATATTCCAATCTTTTTGGGTCCTGTATTTCTCTCTTTACCTTGTTCTATGTCTGTAGAGATGGTGGATAAACCTCCCATCAAAAACAAGAAAAGGTCAGCGATATTGTTCGGTTTTGCTAATTTTTTAAACAATATATATATATAAATGTAACAATCAAATCAAAACCGTGACCAAGCTATATACACAGGATTGTACTGTAATGTTAACGGTGTCTAATACTTGAGATCGTCTTCCCCCCCCCCCGGGTATCAGTTTAGGCTCTGTATGTCCTCTAACCCCTGTCTGATGGGGATAACAATTCTTGACCTAGAAACCAAAGATCCCTTGCTCCTTCCAGATATTTGTGTGTTGAAGACAGCTGGGGCTCGGCATTTGGGATATCTTTGTGGATCTCCGTGCAGATCTCCGTGCAGAGAACCATATTCAGAGTATTTCTGATATCGGGGCTCTGTGCGGGATGTTTCATGGCTACTCCATAGAGGTATTCCACACCATTGAAGGGAGTGGGGCACTTAAGCTTCGTCCATTGCTTTATGGTTGGAAAAACGTGCCACTACACCACCCTTTGCATAGCAGTGGCGAGATGATACGTATACATATCTAGCAAAGCCAGACTACCTCAAACTCTTGGTAGGTATAAAATGTCATGCTGATGTCGATTATGCAATTTCACTTTTGCGTTTTCAAAAATGTTTAAAATCTCTGTGGCAGGGCAATCGGGATTGTTTGAAACAAATATTGTGACTATAGCAAGAACTGTGGGAGGGGCAGAAAATTTAAGAAAACTACATGATCTATCAATAGCTATTTATATAATGTTATAAGTAATGTGGAAGTGAACAAATTGTGTTTACTTAATTCCGAAAAATATGTTCCATAATTCAAAGACATGCCGGAAAGGAATGCTTAAGATCTATATAATATATAGAGAGGAGGTTGATGGACAGCAAAGAGTGCTCTAAATAACTCTCTCACAACTAAAAGAAAAACAATTGGAACTGACACACATTGTCATTATGGCAGATAATGGTGGTCCCTGGAGTGTTTCAACACATACTTATCACATCTACATATTGCCAAGTTTTACCCTCCCCCAAACTCAATATGCTTTAGTACATTTCTTAAAACATTTCTTAAAACATCCAATACGGACAGCTGTACTCAAGTTCTCTCTTTATTAGAGGTTGACATACCATCATGGACAACTCAAGATTTGCTCAAGAGATCCCATATGGTGCATATGCTTGAGACCCAACTCATCAAGTAAAAATAACGCTGTTGCTATTTATAAAACAAATTTAAAAAAAAAAAATAAATGTGCAAGCAGTTCAGTTTATTTATTTAGTTGTGAATGATTGTACGGAGAGTTAGCAGCTCTAAAAGGCTGTAACACTTTTTAGGAGCTATAGTAGATTTATCAGACATGATGAAAAAGAATGCAGACTGCTAAGTGCGTGTGTGTCTTTTGGGGAAATTGCGGTGAAATTGCTAGAAACCTGAATTGGATTTATTATGTAAATATTCTCACTTGAATAAGATAAAGTATCCAGTCCCTTTAATTTTGGAAGGTGCTTTTAACACTCTGAATTGCGTAGTGGAGTGCAGTCCTTAAGATAATTTCTGTAAGTAGACTTATGGATGGGTGAAACATCTGACCACTTTCTATAGGAATTTTCATAAATCAATAAATAAACCCCAAATCTTAGACAGTTGGTGATTTTCTGTAAAAATATAAATTAAATGAAAAAGGCAGTAAATATGTTTTTTGCTAGTTATGCAATTTGTGTTTCAATGACCATGAATTGGGCAGCATTTGTCACCTCAAAATTTTTAATACAATAATCTTTTCATTAAATTTTGAAAGGAAATAGATGTTTTTTTAAATAAAGTGTATGTAAACAAAATTATAAAAACTCACCCCAACCACAATTAGTATATGACAAGATCCTTCAGTTGTATTCCTTGATCAGACAGTGTTTGACAATTTCTTCTGAGTTTAAGTAAAAAGTTACGAAAGCAACAAAAAAAAAATGTTAAGATACAATATTTGGGTACATTTTGATTACAAACCATCAAACCTTTTCTTCCAACCCTGTGACTTTGTTTGCACTGTGCTATCTACTACACTAAGATAATGAGCTCTTTTACATTCAGACACAGTCACAGATATGCTCGGCAACTCAGTTTAAATTAGAAAAAGAAAATCAAGTGTTAAAAGGAAATTTCATCATTTTAAAATTCTGTACAATGTATATTCAGTGGCTATAGGTATATTTATAGTTGAGTCAAATTTAGTTTGTACTAGATTATTAATATAGCTGCATGAAAACTATGAAATGAATTAAAGACTCTAAAGTATTTTAATGTAATGGCTTCTAGCCTTTTAAAAAAAATCATTCGACTTAGAAAATCAGATTTAGCATAGATTGCTGGTATACTTACAGGCTTATTTACTAAAGTGAGAATTACAAATGTAAGGGCAAAGTAGCCATTAAAGTATATAAAATACTTAGATTAGATAAAGAACACTTAGATTAGATTGAAAAAAATGTAGAATAACTCTCTAAAACTTGCCCTGAATAACTAACTATTTTTACATTCGCCATAACGTAGGTAGAACTTTATAATGCACAAGTTTGCAACACCATCATGCAGAGAATCGAGACACTGGTGGGAGGGGGTGGAGGGGACCGGTCCTTCCCTTTTAAGTGGCAGGTCAGGCTGCCTATATTTTTTACTTTTTTGTATTTTTTATTTTTGCAGGTGAGACAGTGCATACGTATTATTTCACGAGTTACCAAACGCATATAATTGTCTTGAAAACATACCTACTAATTTAATTTTTAACAAGGGTGGGGGGGAAGGATGCGGAAAGGGTAATGCAATGCAATTTTGGAAACTATTAAGTGCAAGGAGTAACATTAGTGATATTCACACAGACGCCTCCCAAAGCATTAAGTTTAGGTACTTTAGAAGCAGTGTTAATTTTGGTCCAGGAGGTGGGAGGGTCTGGGAGGGGAGGTCTGCTGCTTATTGGCTGGAATGTGTCTGCTGACTGTGAGGTACAGGGTCAAAGTTTACTCAATGTTGAGTCTGTGGCAAACCGGTTATATACAAGGTATATATAATTACTTTTGAGTCCTTACCCCCATCTGACTGTAATTGGAATCACATGTTCCACATCCCAGGTATCTTGGAGGAAAGTTCCAGTGTTCCATCTCTCAGGCCAAAGGCCAAGATGAAGCCTTTGTCAGGTTGGTAGCCCTAGGCAATTCCCCCTCTTTAGAGACTGAGAGATCTGGGAGCAGTCCAGCGATTGGCAATACCTGCATTCAATCTTAGTAATGGGTTGCATTGACTTCCACCAAAGTTATGTTGTATGATGTAAGTTGTTAATGAATGTAAGGTTGTGAAAGGCTTTCTGTTGTGCAGAGTGCAGTTATTAACTGTAATTTATCCTGAAGTATCTGCCGGCATAGAATAATGTCTCTGTGTGTAGCAGCAGGTGCTTGAGGAGACTTTGCAATGCATTAGACACCATCAATGTAGAATTGTTTGGCTTGTTCTGCTGGCCACTAATTTCCTAATAACATGAGTCCGGCATCCCTTATCTTGATGTTCTTTCACCAGCCTCTTTCATCCAGGTTTTCAACCTGTAAAGCAAAGGCAGAATGTTGGTTCTGCAGTTGTTGAACCATTTCCCCTAAATAATTTAGGTTCTGATTGAGCTATGTTATGTTAACTCATATAAATGAGTAGTGACCTATCCTATCTCTGCCTTCTCCAATGCTGTATCAGCTGCAAACCGTTATTAAATGTCCACAAATAAGTTGTGAATGTATTTTTTTTTTTTGTGTGTTTTGTCTTTTTGGTAGCTGGAGCTGCAGTGTCTTGGTACACGGTGACAGAGCTTATAGTAGTGTCTGTTATGAAGTCTCCCTCAACAGCACGGTTATTTTACTGGCAGCATTAGGCCTCTGAGTTTCCTAACTTTTTCCCCCTAGTTATCTCTGTTGTCCTTTGCCATGGTTGATTCTAGTTCTGGGACCTCCGACTCCTCTTTTCTCCAGTTACCTCACAGCCTGATAAGAGATCGGTTGAGTATAAACCTAGACCTCTCCAGGCTTTTGTTGGATGCACCACTCCTTGTAAGCATGGTAGGCAGTGAGGTTTTGGCCCCTAATTGAAAAACAAAAGGCATCTGCGGGTTCCTCTTAACTACCTGCAGCAAGCACCAGCAATAGCAGGAGTGGATAAGGTAATTTGCCCCCAAAAAGGGCAGAAAGAAATCAATGTCAAGGAGATCAAGAAATGGCAACTGTGCCATTTTACTGATACACTCTGCCCCAGGCTGGCTATCTTCTGAGGACAGTGTTTCAGTGGTCCCTGCAGTGTCAGTGCCCTGAGCTAAAACTCGTCTTATGATGAGCTCATGCTATGCTTGTTGGGGACAGTTCCCTGGTGTCCATAAAAGCAGACAGGCACAGCTAGACGTGACCCAGAAATTGGGACTGTCTCACCAGAATCGGGATGATTGGGAGGCCTGAGTTTGGGTCCTTTGTCACTGGCATTTACTTAAACTAGTTGTTGGAGCGTTCTCACCATTTTCATTGCCTATTTGAACCATAGCACTGAAGGCCTTCATTTAATGCTGCAGTCACTGTTATTGAAAACAGGAAAATACTCTAGCATACCTTTCTCTTCTCTTCTTCCTTTTCCATATCCTCCAGTCTCTCCTGCTTTCTCAGACATCTGACTTCAAGCTGATTTGCCTGTAAGCATCACGTGATTTCAGTAGTCAGGCCTGATGCTTCTCTGCTCACAAACTCCAGGAAGTTGGCCAGCCGTTCAATTAACTGTTTTGTTGTAGTAGTTTTTTTTTTTTTCCTTCTCATTAAGAACTGTAATTTACGTAATGCGGTTTCTCCCTGGAATGTAAGGAAGGCAGATCATGACTGCTGCCTAGGGATGGGGGTTTGGCCATTGAAAGATACTATGTTTGAATCTTGGGGTACTAGATAAAAAGGGACAAGGTAGGAAGGGACTTACCAGACTCTGATGACAAGTTGAGAGAAAGTAACTTTCCCGCCTTCTCTCCCGTGAGCCGATAGATGTGGTGTGGGTTTTTGGTGGTGTGTCTATCGTTGTATAATTGTTTTGTCACAGCTCCTGGACAATGGAGATACAAGAGATGGAAACGCCAAGGCCATTTGGGGAGTTGCTGCCTGCCATGAGCTAACGACAGTAGTCAGGTTGCCTTGACTCTTGGATACCAGATTAGAGCTGTCTCTTTGAGAAACACCCCAACAGCTGACTGAGGAAGTCTGCTTGCATGGTTATGTTGTTAAATAAAGCTGTGGCCGAAACAGATTTACAAAAAAAAAATAAAGCTGTGGCCGTTGCCCTTACCCAACTTACTAATGTCTTGTGTGATTATTGGGCAACGGGGATTAAGGGTTATGGTGGGTCAGCAGTCAAGTATTAATCTTGCTCTCTGTGGCTCTTTTCTTTATTATTCTCCTTCTATCTCTATATTAGCAGGAACCTGTGGGTTACAGGGAATAGAAATAAAATCTGTATGATTGGAGAAAATGATTTTGTTTGTGTGGCAGCCATGTAAATAAGGGCATAATTATTAATGTTGCAAGTCACAAACAAGCCCTATTGCTCTCTTTTCTGCAATGCTACATTCAATAATGACTATGTAACATGAAATAGAATGGTATGTTTAAGAATGGAATAATTTGGAAGAGTCACAGTTGGCTTGCCGTCTCTGTTTAAAAACGAATAGATTTATAAAAGTTAAGTTGCAAACTTTGTTATTTATGAATTTTTCCATTCCTGTTTTTGTGGTCTAAATATTGTACATTTGGCTTTTAATATTCTATTTAGGGAAAATACCAGAAAGATCCTTTTTTGGTTTTTTTGGGGTTTTTTTTTTAAATGTATTTATTTATTTCATTCAGCTGTATTTAAAAAGTACTTGGGCCATGGTTTAAACTAAAATGTAAAATAAAAATAAAATGCATTGGAGTTTAGATAACTTCATGTACAGTTTGGAAGAGGAAACCTTTTATTTTGCTGTGCAAGACAGACCCTCTTGGTTTCATTATTTATTGCAGGGCAAGTTTCTTTACCAAGTAAATTGTAATAAAAAATTTTTTAAATTATCTCTCTTCTCCTGAAGGACATCTGGATGCCATTTCCTCGTGGAGAAAATATTTTATCTACTGATAGTGAAAAGGAGGATAGGAACAGTTCAGAAATATGTGAATTCTGCCAAGCCGTCTTCCCACCATCTTCTAGATCTGAAAGAGATTTCCTTAGGCATCTTAATTCACACTTTTATGGACAATCATAGACCAGATCTCCTGGAAGGAACAAACTGTAGTTAGATAGCTTGTGTGTGTGTGTGTGTGTGTGTGTGTTTTATTTTTTATTTTACTTTTTTAATCTGTTGATTTCACGTTATCCATAATGTAAAATAAGGTACTGTTTTACAATGGTACTCCTGTTTTGTAAATTGTATATGTTTGTCTTTTTTCTTGTATTTTATTATGAGACTTAAACATTTTATTTTCAAGCATGTTAAACAAAATTGTAGCACAGAGAGACACCTATAAGCAAATAAATAGCTAGCATAGGAGCTGCAACTAATATTTGCGTACATTTACTGTATATGTGGACATACTATGCAAATGGCGAGTATGTATACATATGAAGTTACATGATCATGGATAATAGTTTGCATAACAGTATGTTAGTTCATATGTGGAGAATATGCAGGTATTCCAAAAGAATTTAAATCGTCATTTATTGGACTATCATTTAATATATATTTTATGTGTTTATCTTTAATACATACATTTTGTTTTTAATTCTTTTATTGGTTTAAAAGACTACAGTTTCAGTCCTGCAAAGGATAGGCTTGAATTGTGGTAACAATATAGACTATTTCCTTTATTTCCTTTTGTAAATACAGGGAGGATTTTTAATATTTCAAGTATTACTTTAAATAGGGACTTTTTTTTTTCCCCCTCACCTTTAAATATTTTTTTTCTAATTTTATAAAAGAATTAAGACCATCACAAACAGATATGTATATGCAAAACCCCTTTAGCATTGCGGTTAAACATTCTTATTTTAGCACCAAAACCCACAGTATTTCCATAATTTAAATGCTTAAAGGTGTATTTTCTGGGTTATTACGAATATGTGAAAATTAATTTTTAAAAATGTGTTAATTATGAGTGAAAACTAATAATAGAAATGTAGTGTGCCTTATCACAAATATTTGTATATTTTGAATTCATCTTTATTATAGTTCATTTATTATATGACTCATTTTAAGGTGTTCTACCACAAACTATATTTTTTTATATTCCCTTTTCATACGAAGTTCAACAGAAATTCTGGATTACAAAATATATTAACTTAATATTTGTGTATGAAAAGGAAACATGGCTATATTTATATGTATATATCTAGTTCAGATAAAAGAAGATGCATTAATTGAAGGATTTTATAAAAACCTTAAAAAGAAAATCCAAAAGTTAGTTACACTAATTTTTTTTTCTTTTTCCTTTCTTTTTTTTTTTTTTACTTTGTATATCTATATCTGTTGAAAATATGTACCAAAATATTTTGTTGCATGTTTCTTATTTTTGTTTATTCTTCAAAATGCAGTTTTGCTTAATATATAATGTGATCCATTAATTATAAACATTTGGTAACTGCTACTTAGGCGCATTTTAAAATGTTGAAATCTTTGATGTAAGCATTAAATCTGTGTTTTCTTCAGAAAATGTAATGTCAAAAATAAAACGTGATATTTTAAAATATTATATATAAATATACGTACAGATGGAAAAATAAAAAAATTGGGCATTTTATTTAGCTGCCATTTTTTTTTTAAAGCCTCTGTGTATATAGAATATGTTTAAAGATTGAAATGCAAGGGGAACGTAAAACTAATTATCAGGAGAATGACTTCATTAAATGACTTCATGCATTGTATAGCTAAGACGGCTTACACCTTAGCCTAGTCAGTTCTCTACTGTTATACAGAAGGCAATCGGTGTCCTTTTAGTTCACAACCCTGAATGAGGTTCACACATTGGGGTATAGAAGCTGAAGCAGTTGTTCTATTCTAGATATCCCTATAATGGTGTCATTGAGTAAATCGCCCCGAGGGATAGCATATCAGGTCTCCTTAACAGCGTGCCATACAATGTCGATGCTTGCTAGACACAAAGTCTACAATATGGCTTATGATGCAGTTTATATCACCCTCCTTTATTACAGACACCTTTTGTTTGAGATATTGTAGTGAGAACAGTGATGCTTCATAGCAGACCTTTTCCTCATCTTTCATATGTAGGATGGCACTAATTACACCAAATGTGTAACAAGGGACAAACTGGAAATGAATATAAACAAAGCCAAGTTTGAATTTACATCCAAGATTAAACCTTCAAATTAAACTGTGCACGTATCAACGCTGATACTTTAAAAAAAAAAAAAAATACAAAAAGAAAACAAAAGTAAGCATGTGTTTTAAAATCACTGCTTTTAGTTTTATGACTCTTGATTAGGGTATTGGGTTGTGAAATAGATTTCAATTAGAAAAAAGTTGCAACTGTACAGAATAGTTTGATTTATTACCAATTAGAGAATTGCATTACCACATTCTTACAAAATCACTTTCATAGTTCAGCTATTACTGTGTGTTTTTTATGGGGTAAAAAAATATACTTGCATGTACCATCTGCCCTTTTAAACTCTATTTTAAGATTGGCTTGCATTGAAGATGCAAGATAGTAAACATTATGAATGGTTTTATCAATCTACTATGCTACAATTAGCTATTGTTATTCTGCACTTGTATAATTTTAATTCTTTCCACGTCACTTATTTTACATTAATCCTTGTGGAAATTCCTGTGAATTAAGAGCAACATTTAAAAAAAACAAAAAAAAACATTGTTTCTATATTTTTCATTAATATCTATGGATAGGGTGCCATGGGTCCCCATCACTCTGGCCCATAAAATATCCATTTGCCATGTGGATATACATTCCCTTAGCACAAAGCATTACCCCCATCTCTTAATGTACAGTACCAGGAATGTGCCCGTACTCCCAAGAGAAGTATACTTGTAGGCTGTGCCAAACCACACTGGCACGAATACAACCCATTCAACACCCTGTGTGCCCTATGGTGCAAACCTCAAAAGTTATTTATAAAATTCCTATCTCGTTATCCATGCTTCTTAATGGAAATGGATATTGAGGAGTGAATTCTCTATATGTCACATTAACAAATTCTATAGAATAATGTTATGCTTGCATTTATTGATCCATGGAAACGGGCACTGATTGCCCGCATTATGCCATTTACTGTTGTGGCACTGCCTCCCATATTGCAGACACTAAAAAGAGTATAATAAACATTTTACAGGATTTTTTTCAGTCTTGGCTTTTATATCATTAAATAAAGGGTTGCCAGGCTAATGCCATGCATATCATTTAGGTCCCCATTAAAAGAAAGTTGTTGTTTTTTTGTTTGTTTTTAATAAGAATCACCAGACTAGAACATGGTGGTGAAGTTTGAGGCCTAAACGTTATTAAAAACACTCCAAACACCTAATGCACAATAGCAACTGATCCAATAGTTGGCCAAGTGTGGTCAGAACTTTAGTCCACAATAACTCTATTTAGCAACGTTTTAATAGATGGATAAAACGAAAAAATAAAGACAATCCAGACTCCTATAGCATTTCAGCTTGTTGAAGTGCTTCATAAGTGAAGAGTGTTTCTTCCTTTTTTCCATTTTACAAAAAAAGTGCAGATTACAATAGAAATTGGCATTTTAATTTTTTTTACCTGGTTACAAACCCCTTAGCTGTCAATCAGACAAGCAGCCCTGTTGTTTCCTGGTTATTTTGCTCAGTGGGGCTGGCTGATATCCTCAATAGTGACCATCTAAGCCAATGAAATGCTTTCACCTAGGGAAGCATTGGGGGCAAGTGTGCGTGCATAGCAATCAGCATCTCCTCCTAGAGATGTATTGACTCATTAAGGAGCTCTAGACATTTCAATGAAGAGCATAGAGATGCTCCACGTCAGTCATATAAAGATTGTGGTATTTGGCAGTGGTTCTGGTGATTAGAGTATCCCCTTTAATGTTCCAATGAAATAGATCAATTGGCTAGTGCACAAAATGTTTACCCTGTTCAAATCTTAGGGTTACAAGTTCTGTTTCTCAGACCTTCATATTTTATGATAATAAATTGAGTACTGCTGCTTTGCATTGCAGTCACATCTGATAATCAACTCCTGATTCTACATGAGTCAACTTTAAAAAAAAAAATAAAACAATTAATTGTGGTCGTTTGTGAAACCAAGGTTTCTCTGTAAAATTGTGCAGACATAGAAAAAGAGTTGGCACCATATAAAATAGCAGAATAATTATGGGATCAATGACAATTATATGAGGGTACTCACAGCTTTTGTTTACAACTCCCTCCCATCCTTCCATAAGGCATGGGACCTGTGGCTGCAGTACATCTCCAGCTAATTACCACTGATATTTTTTGGAATACATATCCTTTTTGAGACTAGTTTCTCTCAATCTCTTCCTTCTCTTGTTTTCCTTTACTGTCTTTTGAAGGTGGTTTTAAATCAGTTTTTTTGTTGTTGTTGTTAAAGTGCAACAAAAAAAGGCATGTCACCGCATCAGAAAACGAAACCTACTGGGGCACTACCAGGGCCGGACTGGGGATACAAAGCAGCATATATATAGTATTTATTGTCTTTTTATTGTCCTGATGAATGGCCTATAGGGTTGTTTGTTTTGGTTTTGTTTTTTGTATTGGAAGACCCAGAGTGCTGGTATGGATTGAAAAGTGGGTGTGTGTGTGTGTGTGTGTGTGTGTGTGTGTATGTGTATATATATATATATATATATATATATATATATATATATATATATAAAATACATACCAATAGAGTAGATGACCAGCACTCTCGGATTCCAATAGGTAATTAAAATTTGTAAACTTTATGTATCCATCTTTAAAAACAATCATTGTAAATTGACTTACCCCAGGTGTACCCGATCCCCTGAGTGCTGCCGCCCGTGGCCCCAAGTGTCCTCTGAGCATGCGTGTGTGTGCTCCGCCCCCATTCTGCGTGACCATGTGATGTCCGTTGTCGTGGAGACCCGAAATAAGCCGCGTCTCCATGGCAACCTGGCTACACACTAGCCATTCTCTAATAATCATCGATCTTGCAAGTGATATGTGACAGTGTCCATGAGATTACCTTAATCCCTCTATTCCTAATCATAAAGGCTAAAAGACAAAACCAATTAATGCAGCGTGATCCTACAATCGGGATCTATATCAATAAAGTGCTCTAAGTGCCCATATTTATTTACATCCTCCACGTAAAGGGGCGGAAATTCCCACCAAGTAAATCTAACCCATAAAACTATTACAGCTAAAGTGCATAGTGCTTAACCAAGTGATGTAAACACCTGGGGTAAGTCAATTTACAATGATTGTTTCTCCCATATATGTTTGTTTTGTATCTATGGCTGTTGTTCCTGATGAAAGTCCCAAACGTGGACTGAAACGTTGAGCAGCTATTTTTAAAGATGGGTACATAAAGTTTACAACTTTTAATTACCTATTGGAATCCGAGAGTGCTGGTCATCTCCTCTATTGGTATGTGTAATCCCCCCCAGATTGCAAGCACCCGGTTTAACTATTTTGGAGCCAGTGTGCAAGGATATTGTGGATTCTTTTATATATATTATTGGTATGTTTCTTGTTATAATTCAAATTATTGGGTCATTCAGGGTAAAATGTTTAATTATACAGTAAGCATAATTGCAGACACAGACAATCTCACAGACTCATTGATACACATGCTCACTACAGACAAGCTCACTGACACACACACACATGCTCACTACAGAAAAGCTCACTGACGCGCACACACACACACATACATGCAAGCTCACTCACTAGCATACACACACACACACACTCTCTGTGTCATGGGCTGAAACCTACCTGTCACAGAAGGCTGTGGGAGACAAGGAGCACTGGGAGGTGATGTCTCCATTTTCTGACCTCTTCCTTCCAGGTCAGCAGCGTGTGTAGGGGCGCTTGATCGTGGGAGGTGGGGCTTAAATCCAGGAGGCGGGACTTGAATCCAGGAGGCGGAGAATAGAGGCACCAATAGCTGAAGATTCAGGAGGGAGACTTAGAATTTCCTCCGGCCCCATGGCACCCTAAAAGGGCCGCACCAGCCGCTCCCTCCCTCCGTTCATTCCCTCGGACTAATACAGGCTGTTACAGTCCGAAGGGAAAATTATTTAAATTACACATCAGGGCTTCCTGCCAGTCCCAGGTACTGCGGCCTACCGGGAAACTCCCCGGTATCACGGAGGGCCAGTCTGGCCCTGAGCATTACAAGAAAACATACAATTGAGAACGTATGCGTAAAGAAAAATTATTTTTTTAATAATATCTCTGGCTCCTGCCTAAAATACATGTTTATATTATCCTCATCCCTGAAGTTAGCATAATGGAGATACGGTCAGTTAAAAGCTAATAAACATGTAGACTACGCCACCTATATATATATATGTAGTAGTAGTAGTAGTAGTAGTAGTAGTACGCCGTATGTTCGTCTTTTGCAGTTTGTAATATATTTTATGCACTTGATTTTTTTTCTC